ATCCCACCGAGGAACACGTGGATGCGGCTGAGCATATCATCAAGTATTTGAACTCCTATCCCACCGTTGGAGTTCAATACTCGGCCGTGGCTCAAAGGAAGCAGAAAGGAGCAGAGGTTCTCAAGGAGAAGGGGGGGCATCTTGGGGAAAAATAGTTGTTTCTCACAGGGTATGCTGATGCAACTTGGGCATCGGAAAAGGAAGACATGTCCTCTGTGGGAGGATATGTGTGCGTGATTGGTGGTAGGCCCGTGAGCTGGAGGTCAAAGAAACAGGTGGAAACGGCGGGTTCTTCTGCTGAAGCCGAATACATGTCAATGTATCATGCAGCCAAGGAGCTGATTTGGCTGAGGAAGCTGCTGGAGGAGATAGGGCACGAGCAGAAAACGTTTACACCGCTGTTTTGTGACAACTCCAGTGCCATTGCAATGTCCAAGAACGCGGTGCTGCATGGGCTCACCAAGCACATGCAGATCAAATGGCATTGGCTGCGCAAGGAAGTGCAGAGCGGATTCATTCAACCTCTCTATGTGAAAACACAGCAGCAGCCGGCAGATTTTCTCACGAAGCGGCTGGCTGAAGAACCACACTGGCGCTGTGCTAAGCTGTGCGGTATGAGCCTTAACTAGGCTCATGCAAGGAGGTGCAAGCAGGCGACTGCTTGAGGGGGAGTTTGTTGGGTGCAAATAATATTTTTGCACGTCAACCAGCCGCCTGCATGAAGTCCCGCATTTTTTGTGTGTTATGTGCGCATTCGTTTTGCATTCTGTTTCATGTGTTTTTGTTGTGGGCACATGACAAGTCATGACGGATCATGACGAGTCATGAATTCTCATGACAACTCATGTTCGTTCGCTAATTTTCATGAACAACTGTGAGCGTTCATGATAGTTCCGAGCTTCATGAAAGCTCTTTTTTTTTTTTTTTTTTTAAATTGAAAATGTACACCGCAAACACAAGTGCACACAGACAATAGCGGTCGTAACCGTGCATGAGCGAGCAGAGGCTGTCTGCTCCAGCGAGAACTCTAAGATGGATTAAACACCGTTCTGGGATTGGTCCAGATGGACTCGAAACCCCTGGTCCACGTCCATCTCTTATCATCTGCCAGCCGTATCCTGCTCAGCATGCGTTGCTCCTCTAGTAGTCCCTTCATGAACCTGTCAGCATCCGCCGATTTCCTCTTCTTCTGCCACGCTGTCGAGCGTGCTTTCGTATACACCCGTGCATGTTTCCGAAATGCCATCAGAATCAGCCTCAGGACTCGGCACGTTCGGAATTTGCGCCCCCGGAACACTGCTTCATACCGCTCTCGCCAAACCTGGTGCAGTGTAATCGCGATGATTGTCGCTTCGGGGAAGGCTGTGGTGGTCCCCGCCTTGCGAAAGAGCAGGTCTTCCAGTGAGTTCGTGGACCAAAGTGGGTTCAGCAGGCGGAGGGCTCGTTTGAGCGCCGACATCACCCTCTGGATCCTCGGGCAGGTGAAAAGACAGTGTTCCAGGGTCTCTTCTCCCTTGCAGTGAGGGCAGAGTGGTTTGTCACATAGGAACGCCAGCCTCTCCCCCACCTGGAGGTTGAAGTTATACACTCGCGTAAGTACATCCCTCGGTCTGCTCGGGGTGACCAGGGACTCTCGGATTCCCAAAATCTTTTTCCAGTTGATCGACCCATTCCACCTGTCGGTCCAGCGCAGCATCCGTTGAGACATTCCGCGCTTCTCTGACCAATGTCCCCGCATCTGCTTCAGTGGGATCACCTCCCCTCCTTCCAGGATTGGGATGCGCGGAAGCAGTGTTCCGCTCGCAAAGCCCTCGTCAGCCGAGCTCGTGCAGGGGGTCAGCAAGGCCTCCTTCCATTCTGTTGGTGCAGCTGCGAAAGCTCTCAGAGCTAGCTTGGCCGGGCCTTTCTCGCCTAGCTCCTCCGTTAGCTCAGCCATGGATTTCAGCACGCTGGTGCCGTCCCCTTGCCGCCGTACCAGGTCCCCCAGTACCCAGTCCCACAGCTTCTCCGCATCGTTCTGTCCACCCACCGGAGCTGTTACTCCCACCATGATCGCCCGATTGAACACAATCCTCTCCTTCGCCACCTCCGCTCTGGACACCACTACCGTCCGTATGCTGAGGGGCGATTTCATGAAAAGTTCGCACGTTTGTTTCCATCTTTGGCTTCGTCCCTCCCAGTGCCTCAGTAACCGATCGTGCGCTGTGAAGGTGTCCAGCTTCAACGGGAGGTCGGCTGCCCGCATCATTAGCTCCCGCTTGAGCTGATTCGCCTCCGTCATCATCAGACCAACTCTCCTGGCCGCCAAGCATGACAACGTGATGTTTGGGTCATGAACACCTAGCCCTCCTTCCCTTCTTGGAGTGTAAAGCAGCTCTGTGCTCTAGAGTAGGAACACCTTTTCCGGTGTAGCCTTGTTCCCAGAGACAAAATTGTGTATCAGCTTCTCCATCTCCTTCCAAACCGATGCCGGTGGCGGATACACTTGTGCCTGGAAAGTCATTACTGGCTGGATGTATCCGTTCGCCACTGACCCCCGCGCTTTCTCCGTGAGGTATTTCTGCTTCCACAGTGCTAACCTCCTTTTGATCTCCTCCAGTGCCTTTCCCCATGTTGGCAGCCCGCTACCATCGGGTGTGACCCAGACTCCCAACAGTCGTTCAGCGTCTTTCGGCTTCGCCCACTTGAAGACGCCCCCGTCGTCTCTCCCCAGGTTCACCCCCAACGGTAAGATTATGGACTTTGCCTTGTTCGTTGCCAAGCCTGACTGCTTTTCGAATATATCCAGAATGACCTCGGCTTCTGCTAATTGCTCCTTCCCCTGCAGGGCCAGCGTCGTGTCGTTTGCGTAGCCCATGTATGACAATCTTTGACCGGCGATATCCAGACCCAGCTGCTTCGCTTCCACCTTCTGCACCAGCGGCTCTACCGCGCAAAGGAAGAGGTAAGGAGCCAGCGGACATCCCTGCCGTACTCCAGATACCACCTCAATCCCGGTCCCCAACCAGCCGTTGACTAACATTTTCGTGGTAGTGCCGTCGTGCAGGCCTTTTATCCAGGAAACCAGACGAGGAGGGAAACCCATGCGACGAAGCACATGGAAGACGAAGTCCCTCGACACTGAATCAAAGGCCTTTTGAAAGTCGACTAGCAGCAAGTACCAGTCTTCCCCGCCGTTTTTCGCTGCGTCAATGATATCGGCTACCAGCGCGACCCCATCGGTGAGCCTCCTCCCGGGTATGAATCCATATTGTTCAGGCGAGATCACTCGGTGTAGCACTTTCTTAATACTGTCCGCGATCACTTTTGCGAGGATCTTGTAAGCGAATGACAGGAGAGTAATCGGCCGATAGTTGCTCAATTGATCCTTCTCGCCCTTCTTGTGCAGGAGAATGGTCACCGCCTCCTTGACCTTCCCCGGCACGGCACCAGTAGCTGTGAAGTCGCTGACCAGGGCCATGAAGCTTCCACCCAACAGGTCCCAGTTGACTTCAAAGAATTCCTTCGGTAAGCCATCGTTGCCTGGTGATTTGTTTTTTGCCAAAGCAGCAAATGCCGATTTCACTTCCTCCTCCATCCAGTCCGCAACTAACCCTGCTGCTTCCTCCTCCCGCAGAGTTCTTTCGGGTATGGGAGTCCAATCTTCGAAATCAGATCGCCTATCTCTCCCGAAAATGTCGCGGAAGAAATCTGACGCGGCCGCCAGAACCCCTTGCGAGTCCGAGACTGCTGCACCGGCTACTTTCACCTCCATAATGCGGGTCCGGCTCTTCCTCGTCTTGACTAAACTGGACAGCTGCTTCGATGAAATCTCCCGCGTGAGCTCCCAGTCAAGCCCAGCCATGAGGTGAAGCCTTTCCTGCTGCCACGCCAAATACTCCTTCAGCATCGCCTCCTTCGTGTCCAGGAGCGACCTCCGCCAGGTGCACCCCGGGTTGCCCATCACCTCTTGCCTCAGCGCCGCCACGGCCGATATCAGATGTGTGTAAGTCGCTCGCACCCTCTTTTTCTCTTCCTTTGGGTACGCCCGAAGCCGTGCCATGAGTCTCGAAACGAGCAGCTCAAAACTCCTCCTGTCCTGTACTGTAATCCTTTGTAATGTTTCTTCGATGATTCGTCGTACGCCAGGCTGCTGCGACATAGACGCCTGCAACCTCCACAGACCAGGCCCCATCCTGGCTCTGTCATCCACCTTGAGTGCAACCTGGATCGCAAAACCGTGATCAGAAATCGGCTCCTTCGGTGAGATATGCTCTGCATCAAACAGGAAGGGAAGAAGAGACATCGACACCAGCGCACGGTCAATCCGCGAGCTTGCCTGTGCAGCTGCTGCATAGAAGGTGTACTCTCTGCTTCCCGGGTATAAGGTGCGGAAAGCGTCAGAGAGCTGGAAAGCACTGCAGCGGCTGTACAGTCAATCGTTCTCAGCTGTTGTACCATTGCCTGATGTTCTATCTAAAACTGGGTCTTCTATGATGTTTAGATCGCCTATAATCAGCAGGTGCGACGTCGGCGGTATCTGGTCAATCAGCGGTCTTAAAGCACTTCGGATGAAGTGGGCTCTAGCTGAAGGGCTCGAGGGGAAGTATACTGCGAGGAGGGTGAGCTGGATGATTCTACCTGAGGGGTGGATTTTGGTGTCTGTGAAACTGATGGAAGGGTTTTTGCAGAGGATGGCAACCCCGCCAGCTTTCGCTTTGCGGGAAGCTACCGCTACCGTAGTGAAGCTTGGCGAGGTCCAGAAAGAGTGAGTGGGTGGGATTCTGGTGTCTGCTAAAGCTACTATGTCTCCCGCGTCCTTAAGCCATCTTGTGAGTCTGCCTTGCTTTCCTGTATCCCCATGGCCGTTGACATTAAGGCACGCGCAGGTGAGGAGGTTTTTCTTGTTACTCATTTAACCACTGACTGGCAGCCCCTCTGCATCCACAGGATGATAAAAGCAATGAGACCAACCACACTGACTACGGTGCATACTCTAGCCGCCGAGTCCAGTCTACTGTTCAGATCCCGAAGTCTTTCTTGATAATAGCAAGGTTCGTCCTCTCGAGAGAGCTCTTGGTCGCAGTGCCGAGCTTCTCCTGGCAGATGAGATGAGCCGCTGAGGCGATGTGGTCCGACGCCGTCATGAAACATTTCCCGTGAGCCTTCTTGCACCCCGCCTGGGTACATAACCACTCCTCCCTGTTGCTCCCCGTGGAAATAAGTGCCAGTGCAGGATCGCGGAGGATAGGGAGGAGGATCGAGGTGGCTTTCAGGGACGCAGCTGCAGGATTCAAGCGGATCATTAGTAAGAATCAAGGGAATGGAAAAGCAATCAGTTAAGAAAGGTGAGTCAGCAGCACTGTTACCGTTAAGCCTGTGATTTTTCCCCAGCGACAGATTCCATTTCCCAACATTATTCCGACGCTCTACTACGAACAGATTATGATACTTATCATAATGCTGTCCTCCGCAGAGTGTGCAGGATAATGATGGGTAGTGGATCAGCAGCTTCTTCGAGCGATCAGCCGGGTCAAGCACCGCGTGGATCCAGCGACCATTGTCACCCGGGTGCGGATAAGCAAGTCCTTTGACAACATCCGTGTCCGCTCCAGTCACCGGATGAAGGACGCGATGGAATGCTGAGCAGCGGAGAAAGGCCGGCCGCTGACTCTTCTGCAACTTGTAAGTCGAAAGCCGGTCTGTCAGCATGCCGATCTCAACAGTTGCCGAAACATCGCGGAAGATAACCTCCAGAGCCGCAGGGCGAAGCGAACGCTCGCGCACAAACGCAGCATTGTCAGTATGCTGCCAGTGCAGCTTCACCAGTTTCCCATTCAACCTCTGGTACACCACTTCTTTTGACGTGCAGATTTCCGCATCCCGCTCCAGAAGGAAGGAGAGCTGCAGACGACAGTACCGGACCTTCGCGATGTACAGCGCCTGCAGTTCCTGGAACTTCGTCGTCGACCAGGCGTGAAGCGAGAGCTCTGCATTCCACCCACGCTTCATCAGCATCTTAACAGTGTCCATAACACAAGCGACCTCTTGAGCAAGCACAAAGGGAAGTAGCAGAATGACTGTGGTCCTGAAGTTCATTGCCGCTTCCTTGTCATGATCCACCTCCATCTCGTCATCCGAATCATCTTCAAGCAGGATCTCTTCAACCGAGCCATGAGCCTGCACCGATTGCCGTTCCGCCATTGTCAGGCCAGATCCGCCAGCTTCCGTGTTATCCATGTGAGATGACGGGATCTCATTGTCATTGTTGCCATTTCCACCTTCCGACACCTGATCCTTGGCAGGCTTGTCAGCGTCAACCACAGGAGGAGCAAAGGGGTCGCCTGGAGCAGCCGGAGGGTCAAGGACGACCTTGGAACGAGGACCCTTAGCAGGAGCCATCGTGCAATGATGAAAAGAAGGCAGAGGAAGGCTTTGATGGAAGCCTGGACTGAGAATGTTGTGATGTTCTGCCGTTAAACTGAGCACGGGAAGGTTAAATATTGTTGTGGTTCCTGCTGGGTCGAGTCGCTCTTGGAGTTGGTGTTGTGAAACCGAGGTAGAAGCCTCGGGATCATAGCTTGTAATAGACGAGATAATAATAAAACTGTAGAGATTAGTTTCCAGCCTGGATGGTAAACCGAGCAATGGCGATCCCGAGGGTGCCTGATCAACTCCATGAAAGGTTGCCTTGTAACACGGCGAGCCAATGTCAGCAAAAATGACAGGTCTCCCGATAGCTAAGTTACCGACGAACCCAATGGTGTAGTTAGAAGGTGGATCGAGGCCCTCTAGCGAGGACATTGTGCGGTTCGGAGACGGCAGAATCCATGGCGGATGTAAGGCGCGGAGCTTCATTGGGGATGGTGTTAGGTTGACGTGTTGACGTGTCATGAAAGCTCATGAAAGTTCACGAATTTTCATGTGCGCTCATGGCGAGAGTTGAGTGTGTCGGGGGAGTGTGCGTCGAGTCTTTTCTTGACTCGGCCCTTTGACCAATTTCGCGCTGGTCAATAAGTGCGCGAAAGTCAGGACCCGCGCGTGGGGTCCTAACATGCGCGTGTGGCCCCTCAGGGCCCGCGCGTGTGTCGCAACTGTTGCGACCGTGCACAGGTGCACGATCGCAACAAGACATGGCTCATTATGGCTCTGTCACGCGCAGGACAAAGCACGATCGCGTCAGCGATCGGCTTTTTCTGCTTGACCGAGGGTGCTTCGGGATTTTGGTTGACTAACCGTATCCCGCGCTGACCTGGAACACAGCCGATTTCGCGCGAAAGTCACGCTGCTTAGCGTGATCATTTCGACGCAGGTACAAAACGGTAAATACCGTTTTATCAACAATAAAATCTGTTTTATAACTGGAAACGGTTTCTCATACGAGTATCCATGATTCCTCATGAGAACTCGCGGAAATTCATGACGTGAATCAGCAGGGGACTTTGGCTTCAATTCAAGTGGATTACAGTTAATTCTAATGAGGCAGATTGAGCCAATTTTTCAGCAGTTTCACAACCGTTTTCTATTACAGCAAAGCGAAGGCCTGGATTCCAGTTAAGCAACTGCTTTATGTTTTCCTTTGTGTGTTTAGGACTTTATATAAATGTGTGCTTGTATTTGCTTCAAGACAATCAATGCTATTATGCTTTTCCAAGTCTGGAATTCTACTACTACGTATTGACGAGAGTAGAAACGCGACGTGGTGCTGCCGAAACGCTGCTCGACCAGATTCCTCACTCCACAATACAAGCAAGGCATAACTACTCACTTTGTATCTGTTATACCCTTGGCTATAAGGTGACAAGCTGTCACACTCGAAGGGTTCAAAGTGAAGTTAAGTGTTGCCAAGTTTGTTTTCGTGGTCCAGTTTTAAACGCTTCCGCATAGTAAGCAGAGTTAACAAGGGGTTGGGGGCTCGATTTGCTTGGGCCTGGAGAAATTTTCGCGACTGCTACGAAGTCACGATCGATTCTGCTTCTGTCGCAATTTTCGCCATGACGCGCGCTTTCACCCGAAGTCGTTAGATCCGTCGCGCATCAGTCTCGCTACTTCTGCACCGCTCGATATAGGTCCCGACTTCGCGAATGTCGTCGCTATATCGCAAACGGTTTTGCAAACAACCGAACTCACGATCCTGTTCAAAATAACGCAAGAGGGGGATTATTCAAAAACGCGGAATCTGGTGCTTACCAACGTTGGCGCCGAATTCTTCGCCCCCGGCAATTTTTTGAAGCAGGGAAGTTGTTTTCGCGCTGCTTAGCTGAAACTCTGCGATTGAAAACGGGCCTGATTACCAAGTGTCACAGGATCGAATTTCCACTCGAGAATGTTGCACTAAAGGTGAGTACAAGGCGTATCTATACTAAAAAATACATAGACACAAAAGATAATCCGTGTCAGAATGTTGTATTTGTCTAGCCTGCAGTGGGGTACTCTATAGCGAGTACAGCCCAATCTAGGGTTTCCTATATGTACTCAACTGCTTGCTAGTGAACCCCCTCCTTTCTTCATTCTTACTTTCTACTGCTAGTTCTGACATGCTATCAGAGCAGGTCGATCCCCTTGGGTCGATCCTGTGGGTGGGCCCACCACCTCACTGCTTCCGCTGCTACTGCTACTCTGTGTGTTGCACGCCCCGTGGCGTGCGACGGATTTTTCATCCCGCCGCGCGCTCGGAGCGTGCGGCGGTTTTCTGCCCGCCGTGCGCCCCGAGGCGCGCGGCGGTTTTCTGCCCGCCGTGCGCCCCGAGGCGCGCGGCGGTTTTCTGCCCGCCGTGCGCCCCGAGGCGCGCGGCGGCTTTCTGCCCCGTCACTCCGCGCGTCGCTCCCGGGAGGCGCTGCGACGGGCGACGGGGACCCGCGCGTCGCCCCCCGTCGCCCGTCGCGGCCTGCGCGACCTGCGTAGGGCCCGCGCGCGGCCCATACAGCCTGCGCGCGGCCCGTACGGGCTGCGCCAGGCCCGCGCGCGGCCCGTACGGGCTGCGCCAGGCCCGCGCGCGGCCCGTACGGGCAGCGCCAGGCCCGCGCGCGGCCCGTACGGACTGCGCCAGGCCAGGGCGCGCCTCGGGCCGCCCGCACGCGGTTCGTACGGGCTGCGCCAGGCCCGTGGGCGCCCTGTTTTCTCTGCCCCTGCGTTGCCCGCTGTCCCCCGTGCTTCTGACGGCGCCCCACCCCTGCTGCTGCCCGTTCTCCTGAATTAGGGTTTGGGGGTGGGGGGTATGGGGGTGCAGTTTCTGTGCGTCGTCCCCTACTCCTCCTCCTCCTCCGTCTCCCAGTGCTGCAGCTGCCGCTGAGGGGGGTGGGTGTGTGGGAGCCGAAGGAGTGGTACTAGGGGGGTAACGTGCAAGTGGAGTTAGGAGTGAAGCAGTGGGTGTGTGGGGGGTGTGTGGGACAGTTGGAGGAGGTTGAGCGGAGGCTGCTGTCTTGTCGTCCGCAGCACCTGTAGTCCGGGGCGCACTGTCGTGGTAGCCCAGAGAGTTTGCTGCGCCTGTCGCCCGAGGGTCCGTTGCTCCTATAGCTCGTCGTAGCCCGTGAGCCAGTTACTCCAGTAGTCCGGGGCGCACTGTCCCGGTAGCCACTGTGCCAGCAGCTCCTGTTGCCCGTGTGTCTACAGCTTCAGCCGCCGTCTCTCATCTTCTCTCCTCTCACAGTCCCTCCTCCTCCTCACTTGCCCGCTGTGATTACCTCTAGCTTTGCTTCTTATTGTGAACTCCTGCTATACCTGCTCATTGTGCTGATTACACCCCACTTTGGCTATGGGGGTGTGTCAGAATGTTGTATTTGTCTAGCCTGCAGTGGGGTACTCTATAGCGAGTACAGCCCAATCTAGGGTTTCCTATATGTACTCAACTGCTTGCTAGTGAACCCCCTCCTTTCTTCATTCTTACTTTCTACTGCTAAATCTGACAATCCAAACATTCGGGAACGCGCTCTTCTAGAATAGATCATCACTAGTGCGCATAAGCACGCAAGCCCATTGGCACTTCGGATTACGGCGAGATAACGCCTTGTACACCACCGTCGGTGCTGTCGGTACCGTATGATGTAAATGTTGTCAGAATCCCAACCACTAGACCATTGGGATAAAAGGGCTTGTTAAGTAGCGGGTCAGTGCGCCCATAACCCCCCAGGCCAACATGCCTGTAACCCTTCCCTAGGATCGATCGGGGATCACCAGTGGACCTCTGACAAATGTCGGTGCCGAAAATACAGAATAAGTGAAATAATCAGAAAGCTCTAGAAAATAGAATAGTGGTCCGATTGAGGTGAAATAAAGTGCAAATGAAAGAGAAAACTAAGGAGAATAAGATATAGTAAAAATATAGAAATGAGAAATATGTCGAACGTCGGTGTACTCTCACAGACCCGTTCGGGACACTTGGCGACCTACGGAACCTTCTAGTAACACCCGGGTTATTGCCTTTGTGTCGAGCCCATATATAGCCTTGTCTTATACCCAGGTGATCACATCATAATTTTTGAATTAGTTCCTTTGATCCTCACACCACACGCTCAACAGTTCGCCAAGATACTGCAGGCTGCCCGAACACAAGCAGCAGATGCATTAATAAAAAGCCAACATTACCGCGAAGAAAAATCCTGACCGCCTCCGCCGTCTGGTAACATACCAGTCAGGAGATTACGTACTACTTGACACACAGAACTTAAGACTGCCTGCCTTACCGAAACTTTGGAATTGTGGACCGTTCCAAATCAGCCACATGATCACCCCAGGTACCGCCCATTGACCGTTGCCAACAGAATGGTACATCAGCCCATTGTTCCATGTCAGCCTGCGCCCGTACATTCCAACCACAAGCCAACTGCCACGCCATCGCCCGCCATCCATGACTCGCCCTGCATCGAAGCCGATCGTCGAGCCCGAGAAGATTTTGAGCCATCGGATTCGTCACCCCACTTGCATCAAGAGGATCGAGTTCCTCGTTTGATGAAAGGACCGCACGCCAATTGAAGACAGCTGGGTGCCCCTGGCCAACATCGAAAACCACTCTGCCCTGCAAGTGTACCTGAGAAGCTAGGATTTCCGCGATATACACGCACTCGCGTAAGAAAGGGGGCTTCTTGAGGAGGGGGGTAGTGGAAGGGTATTTCTGGCATTCCTTACTGTATGCTTCAACATCGCGTACAGCAGCAGCCGTTGTTCGCCCGTTACTGCTAACAGGGCTTTGCCAACTTCGCGTACACTGTTTACCAAACCATGCACCGCTGGCCAGGCTGAGTTGGCCTACGCTTCGGGACTAGCCCGAACCTCGATGCCAGCCTAGAAATAGCTAGCTCGCATGCGCTGCGTAACCGTTTGCATGTTCGCACATACGAATTCACTCATTGCCTTCGCTCATACTTTGTACTCGTTTGACACCTAGTGCAATCCTCGCTCTCTCA